CTGAAATATTAATTGGTCGTGCCGCGCGCTGTATAAATCTACGTATACACCTGCCGGAGTCGGGAAAATTGGGAAGAAGGAAAAGACAAACGTGTGAGACAGAGCGAGAGAGAGAGAGAGAGACTGGAACGTCGAGCGAAATAATTCATTATGTTCCGGGATACAATGTGGCCCATCCGAAACAATGGCAGATGAGAGAAAGTGGCAGAATAATTCGCAAAAATGGAATTCTGTCGGTATATATGCGTATCGCATGAACGTCCGGACGGCGAACATCATATGGACATAAGGCTGGGAATAATTGCGATTCGTTGTACGGCCTTGCTTGACGAATGAAATTCCACGGGCAGAATAAAATTCCGAATTTGCAGCGCGGACTCGGCGCTGTTGTACCCTCGGGACACATTTGCGGTTCACCTATTAAGTTATTCATAATTGCACCCTAATTGCAAACACATTCAACATACGTTGAATTTCATACTGCGCATTCAACTCGCGAGATCTCCGTGAATTAGCGCGCTAATTTGAGCGAAAATTCAACACGATTAGCAATTTGTACCGCTATTATACAATGCAATTTGAAATTTTCATTTTATTTTAAAGAATTTTTTCCCGGGAAAAAGTATGTCTCTTTTTATCATATGTATTTCATATTTTTAAATTCAGTTTTTGCCTTTTTTATAATTATCCGATAATACACATAATAGTTTCTAGATTTTTATACATAATTGAAATGCTTCGAAATCGAAGACAAGTTATTTAATCGTAAAAATGATAAATATTTGTAAATTACAAACATGCTTTAGAAATGACAGATTGATAGAATAGAAGAATGAAGAAAGCGCAGTATGCGAGAGAATGAAGCGATAACTGGCGAAACGAGGAAAAGCCCAGGGGGTGGGAGGGGAGGGAGAAAGGGGAAACATGAAATGGCACTAAATCAGCCCGCGGGGAGGCTGTAAAATTATTAGCGCTAATAACCGAAGGCTCGAAAGAGAACGTCGGTTCCCGATATTCAATTATGTTTCTGCGGTTTGCACGCGAGGAAGGTGAGACGGTCTATCTCTGCTATTGACATTTCAGCTTCGATCGGCTGTACTCACACGTCTCGTTATATCTCGCGCGAGCATTCGACACTCATAAAAATTATCGAGGCGCGGTCGAGCTCGTGCTTCGGATGATTTATCGCTTTCCAATGGCCAGCCGATGATAATGATTGGTTTATTATACAGGCGGCAGCTGGCAAATGTGAGCGATCTTCGCACGCACTTTATGCTCTGCCGCAACACGATTCGATATCTCGTTAATAATTGCGTCAAATTTCTTACAGAGAAAATCTCTCGATTTTCCAATTTATTTGAATTATCTCCGTAACGTGATTCTTCGTAAGGCAAAAATAGTACACATACGCTTAATTTTTCGGAGTAATATGGAAATTAGATATGTCTCTCTTCAATTTTTCATAGATTATTCTATAAATGAAAAACCATTTGTAAAATTTTCTGCAAAATATATACCTTTCTATGCTCTTAGATTGCATTATATTTAATCAAAGTGATGCGCGTAAATTAACTTCAATCACGTAATGGACAGCCTAATTTCTGCTTTTGACGCTTATATCGCTATAGAAAATCAATGATTCGAAATTTGGGCCAACACACGGGTGCAATGTTCACTGTCATAACAATAGCACGCTGAGATTAACGTCGCGTCGATAATGCAATGTGATTTGTGAGAGTAAAGTTTTCCAAACGCGCGACATCCATTATTTCATATCTATTATACGCGATATGCCATAATCAATCTTATGCAAATTTGTCTAATATCGGTCAATCATCGCTCGTACATCTTGATTATTAACCTCTGTGACTAACCCCCTTCCCTCATTTCTGCCTCGGCTTTCTCGCGAGTCGGTTGCAATTAGCACGCTCAACTTCGACAGTTTAATTAAGCGGTCTTTGACTCGTATTCCCGCGATTCGGGCTTAAGCCGATCTTAGACTAGTTTAATTGTGAACTTTCGCCATTACTCTCCGACGTTATGCCTGGCGTTGATCGACGCGAATGGAAGGTGCAAACGATAATACACGCCGAAGTGTCAAATATACCTCGCGGAAGAGTGTTTCAACCAAAATTAAATTTTTTCAGCGTTTTTGGAAAAATAAAAATAAATCATTATCTTAGTTTTACGTTTCATTGAAATATTTAACATAAAATAATCACATCAATATTACAAACGTTCGCCACACTACAATTATTTGTCAAATTCGAAAGTAGCATCTGCGCTTTAAGATAAAATCGACAGCAAAAGCTGGTCGGGAGGATCGCGGTTTACGTTACTGTAAAAACTGCAGTTCGGAGACACACATTTTATAGATATTAAGCTATTAAAGTCCGCTAGCACAACTTCCATTATCACTTTTTGGTACGGCACTTGTGGTCACAAACATCCCGCGACAAAATGTATCGATTTCGGAACGTTTTATGTACTGGAACGACAAAGTCTTATAAAAAAAATGTTTAAGAAATTATAAAAGAGGAGTAAGAAATTAATATTTTATATGTATATGAATCAAACAAAAATAAATATATTAGAAATTCGCGAGAGAGACGGAATTTGTAATTATCGAAACACCTATTTTTGTTTTATATATACAGGGTAAAAAAATTTTTTTTTAATTAAATAGGGATTGATAGTTTTATCTCCTTATAACGACTCAGGAAGATTAAAAAAATATTAATAAATATCGTTTTTATTAGTGAAAAATATCCAACCGTGTGATTTTTTTAATTTCACTGAAATTTAAGAAAAGAAATAAAAACAATTTTATCTTCTTTAGAAAAATGCGACTTCTCAGGAAAGTATATAAGAGCATTAATGTTTATATAAAAAACCCCCCGTAATTTTCGACAAAGAATCATCTCTTGAAATTTGTCGCACTTATTTATAGACACGCCTTGTCGAATTATCATTTCTTCTCACTTAAGATTATACGCGCGTCCAAAGTTGAGACAAACTATACGCTTCTACATTACGCGCATATTTATGAAAGCCAGGAAAAGAAGAATAATTCTCGCGAGGGGCTGTTAGCAGTATTCCAGACTCGATCGGCAAAGTGCCTAAGTTTACGTATTTGCGGTAGACCCGCGCGACGCTGGGAATAGTTATCAAACGCCGAGGTTATTGCACGCCGCACACCTGCAGCCTGTCTGCAACTTGGCGGCGTGCAATGACGCGAGAAGGGCGTGAGTCTTTGTTTCCGGAATAATTAATCTCGACGAGTGTCAACGGAGAGCACTTCCGAGTCTCTCCCGAGCAACTTCCCTCGACGTCTCGATGTTACCGAGCGCAGTTAGTTGTTTCTTCTGAAACGACCGACTGCATTAGTATCCGCGAAATTCGGCTATTTCCCGAATTATATTCCATTATTCCATCTGATATCCGTTCGATCGGAACAAAATTCGCGTCTCATAATTATCGTTTATTCCTCTGAAAATTCTCCTTCCTTCATCCGCGGAAAATGTCTCGAAAAAGTAATTTTTACGATTTAACGCGAAATCTAAGTATATAAAATTTACTCTTTTCTCTAACAAAAGTCGGGATTATTTTAATCTTAAATAATAAATATCGAACACAAATGTAGTTTCTTTATGATTATCAAAAATGATTTCTCCTGCTATCGTTTGTTTCTCGAACCAAACGAAAAATCTCACTCCCGCGCTCGCTAATCATCTACATAATGAAATTTGGCCGCTGTCAAAATTAATAACCAGCCGAGTTTTCCCTTCCTCGCGGAGCACACGCTCGTGCGTTTGTTCCGCAAAACAAACATTCCACGCTTCTGCCAGCGGACGCGCGCATTAATTCCAGTAATTCCAGCAATTAATCGTGCATCGAGGACGCGAGGCGTAATTAATAACGAGCGCTTGTCGCGACGAAAGGTCGTTGCGAGCCTAAACGTGGCGTGGCGATGGGGAAATTCTCTCTCTCTCTCTCTCTCTCTCTTTCCCCAGGCCGCAACGTTCGCCGAAAACTTATGGTTCGGTAGGACGTGTAATTTCCTGTCTACCGACTTTACGCCTCCTCCTTCCGCGTCTCTTCGCCCCATCACCCTCGCATTTTCTTGCCGTGGAAACGACGATCATTCCTCGGGTCTGCAATGCACCCTCGCCGATGATTATGAGCTTCTCTTTTATTTTTTCTTTTCTTAACCCGCGATAATTCCTGGGGGAAACCAACGAGCTTATTAAGCGCTCAAGTGTGCACATTCTCTCGTGGCGTACCGCTTTCTTTTAACTCGTCGAGCCTCGTGTCCCTTTAAATTAATAGTCTCCTCGTGAATCAGACGCATAAAGTGTCGAGAAAGCGAGAGTTTGAGTGTAGATGCACTCGTTTTAGGTCGACGACGTTATTGAATACAATTTTTTAAGGACATATTTCATATTAATGCTTGCAAGGCTGTCGAAAGGTGAAAGTTAATTTAAATAATGATTCAAGTTTTTAACACTTTTTACGATAGCTTGAAAAGTACGTTGATCGCCGAAGCATTACGGGACCGATATTTATTAAATATTGTAACATCGCTGGGCTCATAAAACAAACCGCAAAGTTTCAACCTGATTTTAGGAAGAATTAAAAAGTCAATGAGGCATGCACATAAATTATGCATGAACCATAGAGTTTCATACTTAATAGCATAACAGTAAAGTTAGTAATAGGATAATAGCGAAGTTACTTTAGAGATGCGAAAATTACATTTTACGTCGTCGCACAATATTTATCGTTCTTACCAACAGCTTATGGTAAGAATATATATGTAGGGCGTAAAATTATATATAATTTTATAAAATGATATTTTTCCATTATTATTTATTTTTATTATTGTCGACTCTTCGGAAGAAAATCTTGCAGTTGCATATGTCGAGCTGCGTCATTGCCAAGAGCCATTCAAATTAATGAAGTTCATAAATCAGATACGCGATGATGCACACAGGTCCTGTAATTCAACCGGATTGGATCATTTAGGAACACATAGATCGTTTGGAATGTAATTACTCGGGAATAAAGTATAGAGGAGGACAACACACGTTCGACGAAACGGGAAAAATGCGCGCAGAAAATGAGATCAAATTATATATGCACGCATAACATTTATTATTACACGCTACGTTATGCATACGTAATTTATCATTTAAAGTTAGTTTGCATTTAAATTTTGTCGCGAGTTTCCAAATTCGATACGAGTTTTCATCTCGTAACGTATGTAAAATAGTAGTATCGCGGATGTGATGCATTTTTCAATCAATGGTCTCGCTATATACGATATACATATATACATATTATTATTTATTATATTTCATTCATGCGCGGGAGAGTTCGCGCGACGTAATTATGTACTGTGAAGGCGCAAGAGTGAAGAAGACAATCTCGCGTAAGATCGACGACGTCGCTTGTTCCTTTCTCTGTTTCCATTTTTCAGTCACGTTATCTTGTCGGAGAGAGAAACTGCAGTACTTGTATCGCACGACGAATGCCTCCCATGTTTCAGACAAACTCTTTTTTTCCCCTTATTATGTGTATAAATATATGCGAGAGAGCAGGGAGAGAATCGCGTTCGTTAGCGCTCGCGTTTTTTAGTTTTCAAAGAATTAAGATAATCTCTTGCCACGCGAAAGAAATATTTAATCGCTAGACGCTATAAGAGAGTTTATTAAATATTCATTTTATTATTTATTATTTTGCGCACGGTGTAAATTAGAGAGATGCTCGTTCGGAAACGTAGTTCGCAGGATATTTCCAAATATATATATATATATATATATATATATATACCTATATATTGTGGAAAATATCAACACAGAACGCGCGGATGATAATTCATTTGTTGCAGTTTCTCACGAGCGCTATCAACTCTCTCGCCCGTTCGAACATGCAGAATGTCAACAAACCGGGGCACGATTCAACGTTTACGTTGTCGCATGCGACGAGCGGAGATTTGGCCGGCGCAGGCGGTAGTTCGAGCTTCGACTTGCTGCTAATCAGCTTAATTTGTAACTTGTAAAACACACAAGCTGGGTCCGCGGTCCTTAATGAAGTTATCCCTTGTTAGGCATCCACCTTCCCTTTCTCTCTCTCTCTCTCTCTCTCTCCCGTCAGGTCTCGACTGGCCCGGTCGTTCCGACTCGCTAAAACAGAAAAAAGGAAAAAACATAGATCAGAAAAAACTACGGGCACAATTTTGTTGCTCGGAGAGAACGAAATTGTTCTCCGGCGTCGTTGGCGCGACGGTTTTTAAAAATTTTAGTGTCATTATTTTTCCATTGCTCCGGTCGAAATGTCGCGGCCGCTCTCTGCTGGCTACTGCCAGCCGTTAGGAAAAATTTCCCTCCAAAATTGATTTTCGTTACGTGTCTATCTTCGCCGTGTTGTGTCCCCCACATTGAATGTTACACGCTACACAAAGAACAAACTAATTCATTTTTCAACGCGCCGCTTGCAGGTTTCCAAAAACGCCGGGCTTTGGCTATCGCGGCGATGAGACGCGAGAGATTCGACGGTATGAAAGCTCGTTCGTTGGAAATGTTTTTCATGTTTTGGAAACGGGCCTACACAGGAGATTATTATTTCTATTTTAACGAACACAGTATTTCAATCCGTAGGTGATTCAGCGCGTAGGATGATTTTCATCTATATATATAGCAAACTATATATATATAATTTGCGAATAATTCAGTTGTTTGCGACTGGCTTGTATAATTTCGTCCCTCGTACAGCAGAATAAAAATAAAATCAGCATTGTAGATCAGTAATCTTTGCTCCAAAAATGTTTCTGTTCATCTATTATTTCATAAAAAAGGTTTTATTTAGCTGTCCTAACATGACTATTCCAGACAATATTTTTGTAAGTTACAATAATAATATTTCTAAATGTCTACCTTGCTCAATTATAATAGAGATTGACGTAAATAATTAAATCTCGTAATTTTTAATATTTCTCCCGAGATAAACATATTTTTATATCTAATTTTACACTAAAATATATTACCTTCGTCACGCTTGATATACGCGTGTCTTAAATTCCCCTGCATTTTCGCGTTTCTCGTCACAAATCAGAAAAGTTCAATATTCCGCTGGTCACGTGACGCGTTTGTCATACACGGCAAAACGCCGTACTATGCATCGCGTAGACACGACGAAGAGGTGATCATTCGCGTCACGTTCGGCCGAAAATTCGACTTCTCGGCGGGTTTGTTCGAGATAATGGACGGTTGGTAAAAACTTTCCGTCCGAAAACGACTCCATCCTCGCGAAGTCGTTAACAAAAAGCGGATGAGCCCTCTTCCCGGGAACTTCGTTAACGAACAGGTACGGTGGGACAGGTACGTAAACTCCGTGTAAGTCGTCGCAGAAAATAATGACGCGCGAACCACGAAGTGGGGAAGTGATTTCCGCGGGAGCCACGAGAGACGAATTTAATTCGCTGCAATTATGCCTGGTCGTGGCAAGATGATGATTCTGTATCTCGTGCTAGAATTTAGAAGCTAAAGTTTTAGAATGGACGTTTCAGGATATGAAACGGTGTATAAAGAGTATTTTTAATTTTAAAGCATATTATATGTACATATATACATTGATCCATATTTTCTTCAAGATCGTCGAGGAAGAAGCCATCGCAAAGTCGAGACTCGTACTTTTGAAACGATGATTTCGGGTAACTGCGGTAATTTTGTTCTGTATATAACGGTCACTTTGATTTACGAAGATCATTCCGGCGCGGCGGCGCGATCGGTCGAAAGTCGACAGGAGGGTTCGATCTTATTCCAAAATTCATTTCGCTTAGCGAACGCTCGGTACGATTTACGACTTCGTCTCGTGGATCCGGAGTAATCGTCGGATCCATTTCTCCGGAGTCGACGAGTACTCCGTCACGGGTTTCTCAAAGTCTCAGGGCTTTCGACTTTCTCTTTCTCTCTCTCTTTCCCCTTTTTCCCGTTTCCTCCCATGTCCAGCCAAATCCTCGGTATCCTCCCGTGATTCACGTGTGAAGACTTTTTTACGTGACTGCCCAACCATCCGTCCGTTAAATTTCCTCGTCCAATTAAATTCGATCGTCATTAAATTTCGTTAGGTACGTGCCGTTACCTCCGCGGCCTGATCTCGGTTGAAATTCAATTACTTCCATTATCGAAGTTTTTGGGGTGTTCCCTTACGCTCGCGGTATCAAACTTTGTCGATTGCGAAGCGAAACGTTACTAACGCAATGCCGCGATCTTCAAGTATCTATTTTCTGCGTCTTATTCTTGAAACAATTGTTTAACGGAACGAGAATTTCTGGGAATTTTTCGAATAATTTTATATATCATCAATATTATCAGATTATATATTATTTTTCAAATTGTATAAAATTATGTCAGCATATATTACTTTAATATTAGGTATATCTTTTGTTACACTGCAAAATTTTATAGCAACGCGCAAACTTCTCATATACATATATCTTGGAAAAGTATCTCGACCCGGTTTTACTGAATAAATCGGATTTAATTAAATTTTAATTAACTTTTTTTTCTTCTGTATCCTAGTTGCATCGCGACCATGTTAAATGTAACCTTTCGGTGTCGCGTTATAAATGTGGAATTTTAAAAATATGTTTTCTCTAAAAAGCATTTTTCTCGATGTGTTCGCTTCTTTGAAATTTCTCTCCATCTTCTACAATATTCGATATCTGTCATTTTATGAAAATTTTCGCTTTAGTTTTCCCAAGATGCTCAATTCTGAATGCGTATCCCGCGATATCCGCGTCTTGTAGACAAAGTATCTCCTTCGGGATGAGAGAGCAACGTCATTGTTTGCAGTCGTATCCGTCCGCGCAGTTGCATCTCGCGTCGAGATTCGCGTTGATCAAATTGTGGGCTTTTTTCTTGCGAATGCATGCATGAATCGAACCAGCTGCCGATGTGTTCTGGGTAAAGTTCGATTTTTTCGTCGGCAACACCGGCGGCTACTATTCGTGTAATCCACGCTCGCAGGTGATCGCGGCCGTATAGGTACGTGTATTTGTGTTCCCGCCACACGAAGTTTACCTTCTTGCAGGCGAACGGAGTTATAGGTCGGATTACTACGCTCGACTAACGCGAGTTTCGACGACAATTTGCCCGGCAACTTGTACCGCTCGACTTGACACTGCCACATTCGTACACGATACGATATCTTTGTTTTTGTAGTATTTCTCTCTTTTTATATAATTATTTATTTATTATTATTTTTATATCATTATTTTAGAATTAATTTTTTCAATATTATATTCTTGCCTCAGTTTTAACTATAATTAATTCATCAATCTTAGATTTGTGGAGAGTTTCGGGCTGCAATGACTTATATATCGACTAGAGAATAATTCGAATTTTGATAACACTCAGTTCAGCAATTTGGATCGGCGTGCTTTCGTCGTCACATCGATTGTACGGAAACGCGAATTTTTCGAGCTGGAATATTGCTTTAATTGAGATCGCGATCGCGTGAAATTACTCAAACCATGAAATTCAGTGAATCTTTACGTTCTCGATATACATATAGGCTTCCTCGATATCTGTATGACCCGGCCGTTTCCAATGAATTCGATTCGAAATCCGATTTTTTGTAATGAATCCATTCAGTCGAGCGATTTGGTGAATAAAAATTCCTAGAGCGCTACGCGCGATCAGAGCTTGCCTTTGAATTGAATGTTATTCGACGATTTCAGTGACGACTTATTTTTTTAAAACCGCGCGCACATCGAAACTATTTTCGAAGGCTGTCAATTATCTATAACATTTATCCACGATTTGGTAGCTCGTCATTTTCGAGTTTTATAGTTTACACGATTGAAAATAATCGATACTCTCATAGTGGATACAGTTCTTTGAAAACAGAAATGAAACAATAATAACGAAGAAAACTGGCAAAAAACTTTATATTTTACGCTTTATACGCAAGCAAATTATACGCAAAGATGGAAGGTGGTTAATTGTAATGAACTAAAAAAGAAAACATACCGCGCTATCAACTAACTTTACATCACAGATAACTTCATAAAATCTTCTTTAAGTAAAATAGGTACGAAACTTCCCTTTACGAGCATTACTCACCTTAGAAACTTAAAACTAGTTCATGCAGAAGAGTGTTGAGTTGTGACTATCGGGCCGGATAAATTTTCTCCCGCCAGCCTCGATATTTCGTCGCTCGAAAAACAATCTCGCATGTGTCACACACATTACATGTTTTAACATTTTCATATTATAAAATAATTTACAGCGTTATATATTGTTGACAGTTATTATACTTTAATATTGTATTTATGAGATAATTACGCGGACAAAATAATAAAGTTTTGTATTTTCAAACGACAATTTAGCGATAATTAAAGCGCTAAATTTTTAATTAAAAAACTAGAATTTTATATATAATATTTCATATATATATATTATTTTTTAATATATATACTTAATAATATATATTTAAAAATTATATATTAAAATAAAATTCTCTAAACGGAATATATTTCGGATGAAATAATATCTGAACTACAGTTGTTATATCCTTGACAAATTTAATTAGCAAATATAAAATATTCTTGTTAATTTTGTCATTTTCTTCTCTGGATAATAAATTCTATTTCAGATAAATTCATTATTACATTATATATTTTAAGCTTAGAGAATATCTCTTTATTTTCCAACTACATGTAGATGTTACAGTTTTAACTTTGTATTTCGCGCAGCGAAAGATATTCTCACAAACAACGTTTTTTTTTTTTTTTTTTTTTCACAAACTTCATAAAACTTTATAAAACTAATGAAATAGAAAGCTGCGTGCACTCGCGTATACTCATCATAACTACGTTCAACTGCGAAACAAACGAACTGGCCAATTCGGCCGCTTTGCTCGCTCTCTCCTCCCCCGCGTATTCGGTTTGAGGGATTAATAACAAAAAACACAACGCTAGAATTTGTCAGTGGAGGGACGCGTGTAAGAGGGAATGGTTCATATTGATCAAATGCTGTTCTAGTTTTCGCGCGCGATCGATAGCGGAGGCTACTCCTGTCCGATTTCTGTCCGGAACACGGTATCTCTGTCTCTCTTCCGGTGAACAAATCACGCGTCGCTTTGGTCCATATTGCGCCGCTGTTACACTCGCTGTCGTTGT